AGAACGACACGTTTACATGCGACACGATAACCCGGCGGCGCAAGAACGACACGTTTACATGCGACACGATAACCCGGCGGCGCAAGAACGACACGCTTGCATGCGACACGATAACCCGGCGGCGCAAGAACGACACTCTTACATGCGACACGATAACCCGGCGGCGCAAGAACGACACGTTTACATGCGACACGATAAGTGGAGTTATTGTTTCCCAGAAGAAAGAAGTGATTGAGTCGGGTCATTAGTACCTTATTCTCACATCCTGCTGTAGGTTTGTCACTCATTTGCATAATACCAGTCTCTGGTGTTGATTGGCTGAGCAGCAGCGTCTCTTAGCCCCGCCCTCCAACACTGTAGTGTATCTGAGACTGGGAGAGTTTGGGTCGTGTTGTTCATGTCGAGGAGACGCTGTTTCGAGGAAAGAGCTGATGATGCAATGATTGTTGTGAGAAAATGAAAGCGTTTTTGAGCTTGGATTCATGTAAACTCAGCTACATTAACTGATCCTGTTTCTATGAAACTATCTGATCCTCTTTAACTCTGTGTGTGTGTGTGTGTGTGTGTGTGTGTGTGTGTGTGTGTGTGTGTGTGTGTGTGTGTGTGTGTGTGTGTGTGTGTGTGTGTTTGTTCGTCAGTGAGGCTCTGATGAAGATGAAGGGTGTTTATGAGCAGAACTCACAGCTCGGCGATCCATCCAGCCTTCAGCCTCAGATCATAGAAACTGCTGTCAACATGGTCAGACTCAGAGGAGAGATCAGCAAATACCAGGTACACACACACACACACTCTCTCTCTCTCACACACACACACACACACACACACACACACACACGGACACACACGGACACTATCAGACCAGAACAGAATATGAGCTGAATTGTGACTCTATTGTGTTTTTGCAGCTGAATTGGTCTCATATTTGATTAAGTTTGATCATTGATTCTGCAGCTGTGTTAAACACGTGTGTGTTCCTCAGGGTCAGCTGACTGAAGCCGGTGGAGGGACAGCCAGGTCAGTGTGAGTGTGTGAAAAACTCCTGAAGTTGTTGGGTTTGTAGTTTTGACTCAGTGTGTGTGTGTGTGTGTGTAGTGCGGAGTATCTGGCTGTGCTGAGTGAGTCCAGCACGTCTCCGTCAGAGAACATCTATGAATGTGGTTTTGAGGAGGAGTTCGAGGTGGACTTCCCCGTGGGCCAGTGTACAGCGCTCTATGACTTCGACGGTGAGTTTCTGCTGCTCCTCATCTTCACACACGTCTTCAGTTCCACCTTTCATCTCACAAATATCACTTAGTATGGACATTTCCAATTTCTCATAATTTTAGTTTAAAGTTAAGTTGTTTTAGTTTACATCTAATAATAATGTCATAATTTCGACTGCATCTTTATAATTATGACTTAATATGGCAATTTTGACTTTTTATCATAAATATGACTTGTTTCTATCAGTTTAAACCTAGTCAAAATTATTACATACTATATCATAATTTTGACTTCTTGTGTGACAGTCATATTTATTAGTTGTAAAGTAGAAATTATTACTTGAAACAATTAAGATCGAAAGTCAAAATTGTAATATAGTTATATTTATGAGATGAAGTCAAATTTATGACTAAAAACGACAAGACATGTCGAAATTATGACTTGTTGTTTTAAGTCATAACTTTGACTTCATCTCATAAATATAACTTTGTATATTATAATTTTGACATTCTATTTGAATTGTTTTAAGTACTTTACAACTAATAAATGACTTGTCAGAAGTCAAAATGATGACATACTATCTCATAATTTCAACTTCTTGTGACAAAAAGTTTAAAGTGATAGAAACAAGTCATATTTATGATAAAAATAAGTCATATTTATGATAGTCAAAATTGGCATATTAAGTCGAAATTATGACAAAAAGTTAAAACTAACAGTCACATTTACGATAAAATCGAAATTATCACAAAACTTTGTCATACTTTCGACTTCATCTTTATAATTATGACTTAATGTCAATTTCAATATTTATCATAAATATGACTTAGTGTGTTTCAACCTTTGTCATAATTGTGGTTTTAAGTCATACTTTTTGAACTTTTCATCTCATTTATAACTTTGTATGTTATAATTTTAACCTTGTCTTGTCATTTAAAGCAATAATTTCAACTACATCTAATAAATAGGACTTGAAAAGCCAAAATAATGACACCATTTCATAATTATGACTTAGTATGTCATCATTTTTATTTATGCCGTGTCATTTTAAGTCGTAATTTCGACTCTTCATCTCATAAATATGACTTGGGATGTAATAATTTGGCATATTTATGATTTGTTGTTGCACATGTGTGTTCCTGCGTGTCTTCCCATGAGCCTCTGCCTGAGCGTGTGTGTGTGTGTGCAGGCAGCAGCGAGGGAGCCGTGTGCATGCGGGCGGGCGAGCAGCTGAGTCTGATGGATGAGGATCGCGGTGACGGCTGGGTCAGAGTTCAGAGAGCCAGTGGAGATGTGGGATACGTGCCGGCCTCATACATACAGATCATCTGATCACGTCATGTGACACTCACTCCATACACTCCTGTTTTAAGCTTGCTTTCTTTTCTCTCAGTATGTTATATGCTTCTGCTGGTGATTTTTCTGTGCATTTGTGGTTTTAAAGATCATGTTTGTTGTCTTCTCCTGTTGTGTTTGTTGATTACTGCAAGCGTGTGAGCAGAAGCCTTCGTGTCACAATGTTTTAACATGAATCCAGTCGTGTGTGTCCAAACGTTTGACTCTGCTTCTGTGTGTTATACTGCTGAATTAAAGTCTGTTCACACCAAACATGATAACTGTTAATATTAGCACACCAACATACTATAACATTGTTTCTAAGCACTGCAGTTGGAGGATTCTGATTGGCTGATGGATTGGAAGTGCGTTCCTCGTTATCATAATTGTGTTTCACTATTTTATCATTTTTTTTATAATTGATCCGGTTTACAAGAACAATAATAATAGTTTCAGTAACTTTGTAATCCATGTTATGTAAATTTGTCTACTATGAAAAAGTAGTTTGCATCGTCTGTCTCTTTAAATGCTCGCGGTCTTTCAAGCAGGATGGATTCTGATTGGCTGTCAGTGTTTTTAACGTTCATCAGCTGGGAAAATGGTTCTGAAAGTAATTCCAAGGTTATGGTTCCTCTGTGTCGCTATAGTTGTGGACTCTGCTATTCTTTAACATTGAGAATGATTTTAAACTATATTGTTAGTTATCGTGGGCATTTAGAGCGATTACTAAAAGTTTTTTTCATATCAATCGTTGTTTATGTGAATGGGCCCAATTGGTATTTAACATTAAGATTTTAAATTCAAACTAAAAACTGTTTTAAAACATGGATCTACCATGGTGTGTTTGGTACTTTTGTGAGTGTGTAAAGACATCAGATCAAAATGACGGTAAGTCGTTGAGTTCTGTTCAGGTTTTGGTACGTGTGTGTGTGTGTCTCCCCCGCTGGCGACACATAACATATTATCATTTTATCGACCCTAGGGTGTAGCGTAGGTTTGATTTTGAAATTGGTGGGGCCGGGGACATCAATATATTTTAGGTTTTGATTGAAATTATTGCTAGGGATATACCAGTGTCACTGGATATTGGTAGGGACACGTCCCTAGCGTCCCTACTAAATTCTACGCCCCTGAATAGTGCATATTAATTTGAAGAATACATCAAAACGTTAACTTTTATTCAGTCCCTTTTTTTAATAGCCTACTGTTCTTACCCAACTCTAATTTGAAAGTAAAGGGTTGTGAATCCTGTTTCATGTTGATTGTAAATTAAAGCAGACTTGGTTCGATGTATACATTTCCATTTTAATTCATTAAGAAACTAAAATATATTCTTTCCATATAAACTGCCTCTGAAATTGGGCATATTTGGAATATTTCACTCAAGCATGAACAAAATCACAGTTTTGAAACATCATCATCAAGGTCTCGAATCCATCACAATAGAACGTGTAAACAAAGCTGAAATCTGCAATTTTTTCAATGTAAAAACAACTTAAAAAAATATTTGGGAAAAGTCACATGATGTCTGAAAGTCCTTTATCATCTCATTGTGCTTCAGTCTTGTCTTTTTTAACATATATTGCCATCTGAATATTTAATAAATGACAGGGATATTAAAGAGACAGTTCACCCAAACAACGTCAGAAACCAAACATTGACTTCAATAGTATTTTTTCCCCATAATATCAATTGTTTGGTTATCCATATTCTTCAAAACAAGTTTTGTGTTCAGCAGAAAAAAAGAAAAAAAAAATTAATACAGGCTTGGAACACCTTAAAGGTGCAGTGTGTAATATTTAGGAGGATCTGTTGACAGAAATGCAATATCATAAACATAACTATGTGTTCAGTGGTGTATAAAGACCTTACATAATAAACCATTGTGTTTATCTTAGAATTAGGCGTTTCTCTCTACACACACCGCGGGTCCGCTTACATCGACACGTGTCTACACACACCGCGGGTCCGCTTACACACACGTTTCTACACACACCGCGGGTCCGCTTACACACACGTTTCTACACACACCGCGGGTCTGCTTACACACACGTTTCTACACACACCGCGGGTCCGCTTACATCCACATGTTTCTACGGTGGCCCTGAGCGGACAAACACGTTTCGTCACTGTGTTGTTCTTCATGATAAGAAGCTGCTAAAGTCAGCGAATAAAACACTGACACAATGATAAACAAGTCACAATAATATTCACAATAACATTGTTTTACTGAATAATTAAGTAAACCTAATCTCTTAATTTATCTTTGCAAAGAAACTCATTGTTTAACTGGCTACTCTCTGCTGTCTCAGACGACGACATCACTTCCTGTCGGCCGGAGTAACTTCTGTTGGCTGCAGTTCACAACCTCACCACTAGATGCTGCTAAACTTACACACTGCACCTTTAAGGGCGAGTAAATGATGATTAGTGTGTGGTCACGGTGTCGTTCAGAAGCCGGTTCTCGATCCCTCGAGCTGCTCAGACCGCAGATCCTGCATCTGGCTCCAGCTTGTTGGACAGGACCGTGAGGATGCGGTCGAACTTGGCGCAGCGCTCCTTGTGCTCGGCCTGCGCACCCGTCTGACCCCAGAAGAGGCGCAGCGAGAACTCCGTCTGAAACACCTCCAGGAGCTCCGGGATCGGCTCCCATCCGGCTGGAGGAAGAGAGACAGGTCAGCCGTCCAATCAGATCGTCACAGTCTATCGCATGTGTGTGTGTGTGTGTACCTGACAGCAGGCCGTGAGCGTGGCGTGTGCAGTCACTAGCGTGTAGTGTGTGTGTGTGTGTGTACCTGACAGCAGGCCGTGAGCGTGGCATGTGCAGTTACTAGCGTGTAGTATGTGTGTGTGTGTGTGTGTGTGTGTGTGTACCTGACAGCAGGCCGTGAGCGTGGCGTGTGCAGTCACTAGCGTGTAGTGTGTGTGTGTGTGTGTACCTGACAGCAGGCCGTGAGCGTGGCGTGTGCAGTCACTAGCGTGTAGTGTGTGTGTGTGTGTGTACCTGACAGCAGGCCGTGAGCGTGGCGTGTGCAGTCACTAGCGTGTAGTGTGTGTGTGTGTGTGTACCTGACAGCAGGCCGTGAGCGTGGCGTGTGCAGTCACTAGCGTGTAGTGTGTGTGTGTGTGTGTGTGTGTGTGTACCTGACAGCAGGCCGTGAGCGTGGCATGTGCAGTTACTAGCGTGTAGTATGTGTGTGTGTGTGTGTGTGTGTGTGTGTACCTGACAGCAGGCCGTGAGCGTGGCGTGTGCAGTCACTAGCGTGTAGTGTGTGTGTGTGTGTGTACCTGACAGCAGGCCGTGAGCGTGGCGTGTGCAGTCACTAGCGTGTAGTGTGTGTGTGTGTGTGTACCTGACAGCAGGCCGTGAGCGTGGCGTGTGCAGTCACTAGCGTGTAGTGTGTGTGTGTGTGTACCTGACAGCAGGCTGTGAGCGTGGCGTGTGCAGTCACTAGCGTGTAGTGTGTGTGTGTGTGTGTGTACCTGACAGCAGGCCGTGAGCGTGGCGTGTGCAGTCACTAGCGTGTAGTGTGTGTGTGTGTGTGTACCTGACAGCAGGCCGTGAGCGTGGCGTGTGCAGTCACTAGCGTGTAGTGTGTGTGTGTGTGTACCTGACAGCAGGCTGTGAGCGTGGCGTGTGCAGTCACTAGCGTGTAGTGTGTGTGTGTGTGTGTGTGTGTGTACCTGACAGCAGGCCGTGAGCGTGGCATGTGCAGTCACTAGCGTGTAGTGTGTGTGTGTGTGTGTGTGTGTGTACCTGACAGCAGGCCGTGAGCGTGGCATGTGCAGTCACTAGCGTGTAGTGTGTGTGTGTGTGTGTGTACCTGACAGCAGGCCGTGAGCGTGGCGTGTGCAGTCACTAGCGTGTAGTGTGTGTGTGTGTGTGTGTGTGTGTGTGTGTGTACCTGACAGCAGGCCGTGAGCGTGGCATGTGCAGTCACTAGCGTGTAGTGTGTGTGTGTGTGTGTGTGTGTGTGTGTGTGTACCTGACAGCAGGCCGTGAGCGTGGCGTGTGCAGTCACTAGCGTGTAGTGTGGCGTTGCGAGCCGACTGTAGCAGGTTGTAGAGCAGCTGACAGCCTCTGTCTGTGGATTCAACACTGTCCTCGCCCTCCATCAGCCTCAGCAGCGGCACCATGTGTGGCAGAGACACCGGCTCCGAGCCCACGCCGTCTGCACACACACACACATTTGCTGTAAACTCTCTCCAACTCACTCAGACTCATACACACTCGCTCTAAACTCACTCAGACTCACACACACTTGCTGTAAACTCACTCAGACTCACACACACTCGCTGTAAACTCACTCAGACTCACACACACTCGCTGTAAACTCACTCAGACTCACACACACTCGCTGTAAACTCACTCCAACTCACTCAGACTCATACACACTTGCTGTAAACTCACTCAGACTCATACACACTCGCTGTAAACTCACTCAGACTCACACACACACTCGCTGTAAACTCACTCAGACTCACACACACTCGCTGTAAACTCACTCAGACTCACACACACTCCCTGTAAACTCACTCAGACTCACACCACTCGCTGTAAACTCACTCAGACTCACACACACTCGCTGTAAACTCACTCAGACTCGCACACACTCGCTGTAAACTCACTCAGACTCACACACACTTGCTGTAAACTCACTCAGACTCACACACACTCGCTGTAAACTCACTCAGACTCACACACACTTGCTGTAAACTCACCCAGACTCACACACACTCACTGTAAACTCACTCAGACTCACACACACTCACTGTAAACTCACTCAGACTCGCTGTAAACTCACTTAGACTCACACACACTCACTTTAAACTCACTCAGACTCACACACACTCACTGTAAACTCACTCAGACTCACACACACACTCGCTGTAAACTCACTCAGACTCACACACACTTGCTGTAAACTCACTCAGACTCACACACACTTGCTGTAAACTCACTCAGACTCACACACACTCGCTGTAAACTCACCCAGACTCACACACACTCACTGTAAACTCACTCAGACTCACACACACTCACTGTAAACTCACTCAGACTCACACACACTCACTGTAAACTCACTCAGACTCACACACACTCACTGTAAACTCACTCAGACTCGCTGTAAACTCACTTAGACTCACACACACTCACTTTAAACTCACTCAGACTCACACACACTCACTGTAAACTCACTCAGACTCACACACACACTCGCTGTAAACTCACTCAGACTCACACACACTTGCTGTAAACTCACTCAGACTCATACACACTCGCTGTAAACTCACTCAGACTCACACACATACTCGCTGTAAACTCACTCAGACTCACACACACACTCGCTGTAAACTCACTCAGACTCACACCACTCGCTGTAAACTCACTCAGACTCACACACACTCGCTGTAAACTCACTCAGACTCGCACACACTCGCTGTAAACTCACTCAGACTCACACACACTCGCTGTAAACTCACCCAGACTCACACACACTCACTGTAAACTCACTCAGACTCACACACACTCACTGTAAACTCACTCAGACTCACTCAGACTCATACACACTTGCTGTAAACTCACTCAGACTCACACACACTTGCTGTAAACTCACTCAGACTCACACACACTCACTGTAAACTCACTCAGACTCACACACACTCACTGTAAACTCACTTAGACTCACACACACTCACTTTAAACTCACTCAGACTCACACACACTCACTGTAAACTCACTCAGACTCACACACACACTTGCTGTAAACTCACTCAGACTCACACACACTTGCTGTAAACTCACTCAGACTCACACACACTCGCTGTAAACTCACTCAGACTCACACACACTCACTGTAAACTCACTCAGACTCACACACACTCACTGTAAACTCACTCAGACTCACACACACTCACTGTAAACTCACTCAGACTCACACACACTCACTGTAAACTCACTCAGACTCACACACACTCGCTGTAAACTCACTCAGACTCACACACACTCGCTGTAAACTCACTCAGACTCACTCAGACTCGCTGTAAACTCACTTAGACTCACACACACTCGCTGTAAACTCACTCAGACACACACACTCGCTGTAAACTCACTCAGACTCACACACACTCGCTGTAAACTCACTCAGACTCACACACACTCGCTGTAAACTCACTCAGACTCACACACACTCGCTGTAAACTCAGACTCACACACACTCGCTGTAAACTCACTCAGACTCACACACACTCGCTGTAAACTCACTCAGACTCACACACACTCGCTGTAAACTCACTCAGACTCACACACACTCGCTGTAAACTCAGACTCACACACACTCGCTGTAAACTCACTCAGACTCACACACACTCGCTGTAAACTCACTCAGACTCACACCACTCGCTGTAAACTCACTCAGACTCACACACACTCGCTGTAAACTCACTCAGACTCACACACACTCGCTGTAAACTCACTCAGACTCACACACACTCGCTGTAAACTCACTCAGACACACACACTCGCTGTAAACTCACTCAGACTCACACACACTCGCTGTAAACTCACTCAGACTCACACACACTCGCTGTAAACTCACTCACACACACACACACACTCACCCTCGCCCTCATTCAGGGACTTCATGAAGGGCTTCAGGCTCTTTTCGAAGGTCACGGCGCTGTTGGTGTGATTACGCCTCAGCGCTCGCCATGTGTTCTCCAACCTGACCACCTGAAGGACAACATTACATTAATAACAACACAATTACAGCGCGCAACATCATGTCTGCTGAATACAGTACTTGCTTCTCACTCATTTTGGGGGCCGATGCCTAAAATAGTGCCTGTTCTCCTCTAGCAAGTCCCTTTCTCACTAAATATGATGTGGATTTTGTAGCTATTTTCACTTATATGATGTTATTTTATGTCTAATCCTAATTTTGAGGTTAGAATTACGGTCACTGACAGAAGAAAAAGCATGTTTTCTGCTACATCTCTGTATTACTACATACAAATAGCCACAAAAATGTATCAAAATAAAGTGAGTTCATGGTTGAAACAAGAACAAATATCTGCAAATGGCGTCAGAAAAATGATCTTAATTTAAAGGGAAAACAAGATTATTTTTGGGATATATTTGGTCTTGCAAAAATTCTCTAATTTTAATTCAGAAAACAAGACTGAATAAAGATTTTTTATGTCTGTATTGAGTATTTGGTTTAGAGTTAGGGTTAGGGTTAGTAGTTAAATTACACTTTTAATATTTGACTGATTTTGCTATTTCAATGACGGAATTAAAGCTGATAGACTATATATATAATGTGAAAAATCAATTCTTATTTTGTGAAAAAACTACATTATGGAAAGTTTTTATTGATATTTCTAAACTTGGTAGCATCAAATTGGATACACTGGGAAAAACTCATATGCATTAAATTATGAGTTGTTTTGAATTTAAGTTAGAAGAATGTGAGGATTGTGCTCAAATGACTATTTATTGATTTATAATTTATTGATTAAATCTAGTAATTTAAAGGTAAAAAAAAGTGCATTAAAAAATAAATAAAAATAAAAATAAAATAAAATAAGCTTTCAAAACAAAAAATAAATAAATGTAAGTATAATTTCAGGGCTTCGGGTCATTTTGACCCGCGAGGGAAGGATTTGTTACAGCGAGAACCACATCTGGAGAGATCTCTCTGAAAGCGAGTGTGTACCTGCGGCAGCTCGAGCGCCTTCATGACGGCGGAGAAGGCGTACAGGTCCCGCGTGGTGTTGCGCAGCTCCTGCGCCAGCGTGATGATGCGGCTCAGCACCGTCGCCCGCTGGACCAGCGTCCCAGTACAGCCCAGCAGATCCACCGCCACACCCAGAGCCAGACAGTGGTGCCTGTGGGAGCCCAGCGGGGGGCATCAGCGCCCGGAACGCATTACAACTGACTTATGTAATCAGATTACTTTTTCAAGTAACTAGTAAAGTAACACATTACTTTAAAAATTTGCAACAAAATATCTGAGTTAGTTTTTCACATTTATTGACTGACAGCTCTCCTGTCCTCGTGTTGAGACAAATCGTAAGTGCAGAAGCATTGTGTGTGTGTGTGTGTGTGTGTGTGTGTGTGTGTGTGTGTGTGTGTGTGTGTGTGTGTGTGTGTGTGTGTGTTTAAACATGATGGTTATTTAAAACAAGCCCAGCCCAGGTGAAAAGAAGGAACGCAAAATTAACGCATTACTACTCTAGCAAAGAAACTAAGTAACACAATTAGTTACTTATTAAGGGAGTAACACACTATTGTAATGCATTACTTTTCAAAGGAACTTTCCCCAACACTGAGAAACACACACACTCACGCACATGCACACGCACACACACACACACATGCACACACATACACACACTCACACACACACACCTCTCCAGCAGGTCCCGTCTGAGCTGGCCTCCGTGTGGCAGCGTGACGAGCTCCAGTCCGCTCTCAACTCCCATGATGCTCTTCTGCTCCGGCGTCACACCGGTGACACGCGCCACCTGAGCCATAGTGGAAATATAATGAAGAAAAGCTCTGTAAACACTTGCAAATCTGAGTGTGTCCCGTCGACCAGGTCACTTCAATATTATTCATAAAGTATGCTTTATTTAGTTCGGCCATAATAACCCAGTGTGAGTGTGTGTGTGTGTGTGTGTGTGCACGCATGCGTGTGTGTGTGTGTGTGTGTGTGAGTGTGTGTGTGTGTGTGTGTGTGTGTGTGTGTGTGTGTGTGTGTGTGTGTGTGTGTGCACGCATGTGTGTGTGAGTGTGTGTGTGTGTGTGTGTGTGTGTGTGTGTGTGTGTGTGTGTGTGTGAGTGTGTGTGTGTGTGTACCTGGCAGTTGACTCTGAGCATGTGCAGTGCGGTGGCTCTGGCGTCGGTGTGTGTGAGCAGCTCTTTGACCCTCATCAGGACGCTCTGGTCCAGCGTGTGTGTGTGAGTGTGTGTGTGTGTGAGTGTGTGTGTGTGTGTGTGTGTACCTGGCAGTTGACGCTGAGCATGTGCAGTGCGGTGGCTCTGGCGTCGGTGTGTGTGAGCAGCTCTTTGACCCTCATCAGGACGCTCTGGTCCAGCGTGTGTGTGTGAGTGTGTGTGTGTGTGTGTGTGTGTGTGTGTACCTGGCAGTTGACGCTGAGCATGTGCAGTGCGGTGGCTCTGGCGTCGGTGTGTGTGAGCAGCTCTTTGACCCTCATCAGGACGCTCTGGTCCAGCGTGTGTGAGTGTGTGTGTGTGTGTGAGTGTGTGTGTGTGTGTGTGTACCTGGCAGTTGACGCTGAGCATGTGCAGTGCGGTGGCTCTGGCGTCGGTGTGTGTGAGCAGCTCTTTGACCCTCATCAGGACGCTCTGGTCCAGCGTGTGAGTGTGTGTGTGTGTGTGTGTGAGTGTGTGTGTGTGTGTGAGTGTGTGTGTGTGTGTCTGTGTACCTGGCAGTTGACGCTGAGCATGTGCAGTGCGGTGGCTCTGGCGTCGGTGTGTGTGAGCAGCTCTTTGACCCTCATCAGGACGCTCTGGTCCAGTGTGTGTGTGTGTGTGTGTGTGTGTGTGTGTGTGTGTGTACCTGGCAGTTGACGCTGAGCATGTGCAGTGCGGTGGCTCTGGCGTCGGTGTGTGTGAGCAGCTCTTTGACCCTCATCAGGACGCTCTGGTCCAGTGTGTGTGTGTGAGTGTGTGTGTGTGTGTGAGTGTGTGTGTGTGTGTGTGTGTACCTGGCAGTTGACTCTGAGCATGTGCAGTGCGGTGGCTCTGGCGTCGGTGTGTGTGAGCAGCTCTTTGACCCTCATCAGGACGCTCTGGTCCAGCGTGTGTGTGTGTGTGTGTGTGTGTGTGTGTGTGTGTGTGTGTGTGTGTGTGTGTGTGTGTGTGAGTGTGTGTGTGTGTGTGTGTGTGTGCACGCATGTGTGTGTGAGTGTGTGTGTGTGTGTGTGTACCTGGCAGTTGACGCTGAGCATGTGCAGTGCGGTGGCTCTGGCGTCGGTGTGTGTGAGCAGCTCTTTGACCCTCATCAGGACGCTCTGGTCCAGTGTGTGTGTGTGAGTGTGTGTGTGTGTGTGAGTGTTTGTGTGTGTGTGTGTGTACCTGGCAGTTGACTCTGAGCATGTGCAGTGCGGTGGCTCTGGCGTCGGTGTGTGTGAGCAGCTCTTTGACCCTCATCAGGACGCTCTGGTCCAGCGTGTGTGTGTGTGTGTGTGTGTGTGTGTGTGTGTGTGTGTGTGTGTGTGAGTGTGTGTGTGTGTGTGTGTGTGTGTGTGCACGCATGTGTGTGTGAGTGTGTGTGTGTGTGTGTGTACCTGGCAGTTGACGCTGAGCATGTGCAGTGCGGTGGCTCTGGCGTCGGTGTGTGTGAGCAGCTCTTTGACCCTCATCAGGACGCTCTGGTCCAGCGTGTGTGTGTGAGTGTGTGTGTGTGTGTGTCTGTGTGTACCTGGCAGTTGACGCTGAGCATGTGCAGTGCGGTGGCTCTGGCGTCGGTGTGTGTGAGCAGCTCTTTGACCCTCATCAGGACGCTCTGGTCCAGCGTGTGTGTGTGAGTGTGTGTGTGTGTGTGTCTGTGTGTACCTGGCAGTTGACGCTGAGCATGTGCAGTGCGGTGGCTCTGGCGTCGGTGTGTGTGAGCAGCTCTTTGACCCTCATCAGGACGCTCTGGTCCAGCGTGTGTGTGTGAGTGTGTGTGTGTGTGTGTCTGTGTGTACCTGGCAGTTGACGCTGAGCATGTGCAGTGCGGTGGCTCTGGCGTCGGTGTGTGTGAGCAGCTCTTTGACCCTCATCAGGACGCTCTGGTCCAGCGTGTGTGTGTGAGTGTGTGTGTGTGTGTGTCTGTGTGTACCTGGCAGTTGACGCTGAGCATGTGCAGTGCGGTGGCTCTGGCGTCGGTGTGTGTGAGCAGCTCTTTGACCCTCATCAGGACGCTCTGGTCCAGCGTGTGTGTGTGAGTGTGTGTGTGTGTGTGTCTGTGTGTACCTGGCAGTTGACGCTGAGCATGTGCAGTGCGGTGGCTCTGGCGTCGGTGTGTGTGAGCAGCTCTTTGACCCTCATCAGGACGCTCTGGTCCAGCGGGCGGTTGTTCTCGGGCAGCAGAAGCGAACGAAACTCCTCCAGACGAAAGCAGGAGCTCGTCTCCGTCAGCGGCCGCTGGAAACACCAGTCGCGCTCGTCCTCGTCTCCGTGTGTGAGTGTGTGTGTGTGTGTGAGTGGCTGCTCCTCCAGCTTCTGCGCCTCCAGGAACCCGAAGCTAGTCTCGGTGAGGCGCGCGCGACTCGTCCACTTCTCCTGAGCGCGGAGCCGCGCCGCGTGACCTTTCGGCAGCATGGTGACCGGGACCTGCGGGGTCAAAGGTCAGTTCGTCATACATGGAGTCTAATGTTATCTTAAAAACATTGAGATTCACACGGAACTCAAATTGGAACTTCTATAATCTGATGCTGATCTCAGTTGGACCCCATTGACTTCCATTATACGGGCAAGAACACTGAAACTATCACTTTATGAGGTCTCGGTGATGTCAACTGAATGTATTAATTTAAATTATGAAAAACTTTTTTTGCAAACAGACAGATATTTGTCTTTGTGATACTGTATGGAGCCTCTGAATTGACATAGTGATGGGGAACAATGTAATATTTCAATACTTGTTGCATCCAAAACACTTTTGTGTACTTTAGAAACTTTGCGTTCTCTCTTAAAAAAAGACTTTAGCCAGTAGATGGCGGCGGAGGAGCACTTATTGTCTAATTAGCCATTTCCACTCCTTAATATATGCAAATGTGATATAAATATGAATGCAAAACTAAGTGACACGGTGATGGGAAAATGTTGCATCCTAAAAACTTTGCATTCCTTCACGAAACTTTTACGTTTCCCCAAGAAACTTTGCAAAAATATGAGCGAATTAAATTTTTTGGAGCGAACACAAAGTTTCTAATGCAATACTTTTGCGAGAGAAACCTAATCTTTCCTCTCGTCTCATATGTTTTCTATCCTCGCTGATAGAGTTATGGCAGAAGTGTTGAGCTCATGACCTCTGACCTGTGGCACCAGCTCTCCGTAGATGTCGCCGGGGTCGGGGTCGCACTGGGTCGGGGGGAACATGATGGAGATGCGCAGGGGTTTGGGCGGCGCTCGGCAGTGGAGCTGTCCGTCAGAGCCCACCAGAGGAGACGCACCCAGACTCGACTGACAGGAAGTGGCTGGGCTGAGGACAGGCTCACTTCCTGTGCGGAACACCGGGGACACGGGGGCGTGGCTAGAGTCATGTGACGCACTGCACTGAGGAACACCTGAGGAACATGGACAAATCAATCTGTGTAGTAATCAGATCCCAGATCAGTTTTTAAGTATGTTCATCGTGTGTGTGTGTGTGTGTGTGTGTGTACCTGTGCGCAGGTTGCTGTCAGATTGTGCAGACTGTAGGAATGGTCTCCCCACTGTCTCCAGATTAGCAGGCTGACTGCCGCTCCTAACACACACACACACACACACACACACACACACAATACACCGTTAATATGACAACTATACACACAGTGTGATAGACATGTATTGTGTCTGATTCTGACACGGTTCCTGTGCAACATTCTGCAAATCTGTCTGCCGGAAATTTTAGCCGATAAAGTTTTAAATATGGATATTTTTCTTAAACGAGCGCATGGCTTCACTTCAGAAGGCCTTTATTAACCCCCGGAGCCTGTGGAGCACTTTTATGATGGACAGATGCACTTTTATGATGGACAGATGCACTTTTATGATGGATAGATGCACTTTTATGATGGACAGATGCACTTTAATGATGGATAGATGGACTTTTATGATGGACAGATGCACTTTTATGATGGATAGATGCACTTTTATGATGGACAGATGCACTTTTATGATGGATAGATGCACTTTTATGATGGACAGATGCACTTTTATGATGGATAGATGCACTTTTATGATGGACAGATGCACTTTTATGATGGATAGATGCACTTTTATGATGGACAGATGCACTTTTATGATGGATAGATGCACTTTTATGATGGACAGATGCACTTTTATGATGGACAGATGCAGTTTTATGAGGTATAGATGCACTTTTATGATGGACAGATGCACTTTTATGATGGATAGATGCACTTTTATGATGGACAGATGCACTTTTATGATGGACAGATGCACTTTTATGATGGATAGATGCACTTTTATGATGGACAGATGCACTTTTATGATGGATAGATGCACTTTTATGATGGATAGATGCACTTTTATGATGGACAGATGCACTTTTATGATGGACAGATGCACTTTTATGATGGACAGATGCACTTTTATGATGGACAGATGCACTTTTATGATGGATAGATGCACTTTTATGATGGATAGATGCACTTTTATGATGGACAGATGCACTTTTATGATGGACAGATGCACTTTTATGATGGACAGATGCACTTTTATGATGGACAGATGCACTTTTATGATGGACAGATGCACTTTTATGATGGACAGATGCACTTTTATGATGGATAGATGCACTTTTATGATGGATAGATGCACTTTTATGATGGATAGATGCACTTTTATGATGGATAGATGCACTTTTATGATGGATAGATGCACTTTTATGATGGACAGATGCACTTTTATGATGGACAGATGCACTTTTATGATGGACAGATGCACTTTTATGATGGACAGATGCTCTTTTATGATGGACAGATGCACTTTTATGATGGACAGATGCACTTTTATGATGGACAGATGCAGTTTTATGATGGACAGATGCACTTTTATGATGGACAGATGCAGTTTTATGATGGACAGATGCAGTTTTATGAGGGATAGATGCACTTTTATGATGGATAGATGCACTTTTATGATGGACAGATGCAATTTTATGATGGACAGATGCACTTTTATGATGGATAGATGCACTTTTATGATGGATAGATGCACTTTTATGATGGACAGATGCACTTTTATGATGGACAGATGCACTTTTATGATGGACAATTTATGATGGACAGATGCACTTTTATGATGGACAGATGCACTTTTATGATGGACAGATGCTCTTTTATGATGGACAGATGCACTTTTATGATGGACAGATGCACTTTTATGATGGACAGATGCACTTTTATGATGTATAGACGCAATTTTATGATGGACAGATGCACTTTTATGATGGACAGATGCACTTTTATGATGGACAGATGCACTTTTATGATGGATAGATGCAGTTTTATGATGGATAGATGCAATTTTATGATGGACAGATGCACTTTTATGATGGACAGATGCACTTTTATGATGGACAGATGCAGTTTTATGAGGGACAGATGCAGTTTTATGATGGACAGATGCACTTTTATGATGGACAGATGCACTTTTATGATGGACAGATGCAGTTTTATGATGGATAGATGCAATTTTATGATGGACAGATGCACTTTTATGATGGACAGAAGCACTTTTATGATGGATAGATGCACTTTTATGATGGACAGATGCACTTTTATGATGGACAGATGCACTTTTATGATGGACAGATGCAGTTTTATGATGGATAGATGCAATTTTATGATGGACAGATGCACTTTTATGATGGACAGAAGCACTTTTATGATGGACAGATGCACTTTTATGATGGATAGATGCACTTTTATGATGGACAGATGTGCTTTTATGATGGATAGATGCACTTTTATGATGGATAGATGCACTTTTATGATGGATAGATGCACTTTTATGATGGACAGATGCACTTTTATGATGGACAGATGCACTTTTATGATGGACAGATGCACTTTTATGATGGACAGATGCACTTTTATGATGGACAGATGCACTTTTATGATGGACAGATGCACTTTTATGATGGATAGATGCACTTTTATGATGGATAGATGCACTTTTATGATGGACAGATGCACTTTTATGATGGACAGATGCACTTTTATGATGGACAGATGCACTTTTATGATGGACAGATGCACTTTTATGATGGATAGATGCACTTTTATGATGGATAGATGCACTTTTATGATGGACAGATGCACTTTTATGATGGATAGATGCACTTTTATGATGGACAGATGCTCTTTTATGATGGACAGATGCACTTTTATGATGGACAGATGCAGTTTTATGATGGACAGATGCAGTTTTATGATGGACAGATGCACTTTTATGATGTATAGATGCAATTTTATGATGGACAGATGCACTTTTATGATGGACAGATGCACTTTTATGATGTATAGATGCAATTTTATGATGGACAGATGCACTTTTATGATGGATAGATGCAGTTTTATGATGGATAGATGCAGTTTTATGATGGACAGATGCACTTTTATGATGGATAGATGCACTTTTATGATGGATAGATGCACTTTTATGATGGACAGATGCACTTTTATGATGGACAGATGCAGTTTTATGATGGATAGATGCAATTTTATGATGGACAGATGCACTTTTATGATGGACAGATGCACTTTTATGATGGACAGATGCACTTTTATGATGGATAGATGCACTTTTATGATGGACAGATGCACTTTTATGATGGATAGATGCACTTTTATGATGGACAGATGCACTTTTATGATGGACAGATGCACTTTTATGATGGACAGATGCACTTTTATGATGGACAGATGCACTTTTATGATGGACAGATGCAGTTTTATGATGGATAGATGCAATTTTATGATGGACAGATGCACTTTTATGATGGACAGAGGCACTTTTATGATGGACAGATGCACTTTTATGATGGATAGATGCACTTTTATGATGGACAGATGCACTTTTATGATGGACAGATGCACTTTTATGATGGACAGATGCACTTTTATGATGGACAGATGCACTTTTATGATGGATAGATGCACTTTTATGATGGATAGATGCACTTTTATGATGGATAGATGCAATTTTATGATGGACAGATGCAGTTTTATGATGGACAGATGCACTTTTATGATGGACAGATGCACTTTTATGATGGATAGATGCACTTTTATGATGGATAGATGCAGTTTTATGATGGACAGATGCAGTTTTATGAGGGATAGATGCACTTTTATGATGGATAGATGTGTGTGTGTGTGTGTGTGTACCTGAGTAGGTTGTTGCTGTTGACCTGCAGCATGTCTCTCTGAGAGGAACTCAGGCTCCGCCTCTTGCTCTGACCTCGTGACAGATGGGCGGAGCTTGATGACCTCGCCGCCTGCCGCTCGCTGATGATGCGTAGAGGCAGAGTGCGCGTGATTGGCTGAAAGATGATGGCGCCTGCGGAATTCGAGATGGGACGCCGTCCGCCGACGTGAAACCGAATTAACGCTGGTATGTTATCGAACTGATCGTTCTCAAACTGAAACAGCTCTCTGGTGTAACCCTACACACACACACACACACACACACACACGTCAGACTCAGTCTCTGAACGCTCGTTCACACGGCGGATGCTGGGACGGATACTGTACCTGTTTGGGTCGCAGAACGACACGTATGATTTTGAAGTGCATGGGTTGATTTTTCCACATGCAGCTCAGGACGTATTCACCGGGACTGGAGCTGGAGTCGCGCACCAGAAACTCTCCGTCTCTAGAGAACAGCTTCTCCGCACCCTACACACACACACACACACATATGCTTATTAATTAATGCACTGATATCAACAAATAGTGAGGTTTGGCTTGACTGCGTGCCAGTAATATACAGTACAACACCATTCCACAATATAAACAAACTTGGTTTATTTATGTAGATTTTTATTGTATTGTGAGATAAAAAAGATTGTATCTGTGGTAAATACATAATTAAATTATTAAATAAATAGATAAATAATTAAGACTAATAAATAAATAAGTTAATAAATTAGTAAATAAACAAACATTTAAGTAAGTAAATAATTTTTTTTAAATTGATTTAACCAAATAAGTGAATCATTTAGTAAATAAAATATGTAGATAAACAAATAATAAAATAATTATATATTAAAATAAATAATTGAATAAATTAGTAAATAAACAGAAATATAAGTAAATAAATAAATACAAATTATATTAAACCAAATAAGTGAATAAATGAGTGAATAAAAAACAATATAGTAGATAAATAAATAAATAAACAATTAAAACAAATAAAAAGCTGAAAATAAATACATAAATAAACAAAATAAATAGAAAAAAAACATAATAAGGTAACTTAACAGAAACTAAATGTAATAACAATTTTTCATTGTATAAATTGGATCTTTATACAAGAAACTACGTAGATGCCTTGGCTTGATAAGAAAATGTGGCCAATATATTAAAGCCGATAAATTGTGGATTATTTCCTTGAGCTGAGACTCTTCAGATGTGCACTGTTCACCATGATCATTTTGAACTGCTTGAAATATGATTGGAATCACTTAAAAAAAGGAAAATACAGTTATGTGCAGCACAAGTCTGTCATATCGGCTTCATAAAATTATAATGAGAACATTATAATTCTGTGTTTGGGACATGGATTTTAATGGTGAGACTTTTGTTTTTCTAATCAGGCTCTCAAAAATTATATAAAAAATTTTATCGGCCAATATATCGGTTATCAGCTTTCAAATATAAAGAATTATCGGTATCGACTATAATTTTCATATCGGTGCATCCCTAGAAAAAGAGCTTTGTGGACAAACATTCCTCCTGTTGTTTTCCAACGTCCTGCAGGTTTGGAATGACACGAGAGCGAGTGGTTTTGGGTAAAGGCTGGCTTTTAGCGTAGTATGGCACAAACACACCTCGCGCAGCAGCTGTCCATGATACCAGGCGTGACCCCTCAGGTCTTCAGTGCTGAGTTTCAGCTCCTCCTCCAGCTCTTTCTTCAGAGAGTCCATGTCCTTCAGCCCCGAGAACACCTGCAGAAACATCACAATAACACAATGAAGCACAATGAAGCACTGAACAACGAGTTTGTGTGGCGTGACCTGTGTAACACGCTCACCTGACTGATGAAGGCCGACACACTCTTCCTCCTGCTGCAAAACAGAGCACAACAGATTAAAAAAAGTAATAAATTATGTTTTTCATTTGTAATATTTAAATGTTTTACATACATGCATTTTTATACAACCTTTTTATCCACTTTAATGGAATCTGGTCAAGTTAATTTGAATAAAATCGGTTTATTTCGATTTTTTTTTATTCTAGACTACAGGCAAAACCATTGTTTTTTCATGCACTGGTCTATTTTGAGGTGTATTTTTCTTCCCTATCAAGTCTTCGTTCAGAATAATGGAAAGAAAACATCCGAAAAACACATTCAAGTGTTTATTTTATTGCATTTTATCTATTTGCGTCTGTAGATTTCAATTACAATACATATCTTTAAAGAGTTTCATCTCCACTTCAGCATCACTTGTATACACCAAAATTTACAGTTTTATTCCAATCCATATTCTAAAGGTTTTTACCAAGGGGTTTGTTCATATATCATTCGCCATATATATATTTAACACTTTATTCCTAAAAACATGGTGAAAATTAGTTTTTTTCTGTCTGACGACAGTATTTTCTGATTTATGGAGTCATAAAGAGAGATATCCAAAATCCCCTCAGTGAAAACATTTAGCTCTACTATGTCAACAAAATCAAGCAAGAAGTTTTAACCTGGCTTTATCCAATGTTCAGATTTATGTGCTGGAAAAGTATGCAAATTAGTGCATATTTGATTCGATTATTGATGAATGCCATATTTGCATAATTAAACAACATTTCAGAACTTGTAATACAAAATGTGTCTTATTATTCTGTGTTTAATCAACTTGAGAAAGTATCGGGATATCTACTAGTTAAACTTTTAGAACTTTGCACAAAAAAACAAAGCTCAAAACATCACAGAACACCAAATGCTGACGTCTGTCTGCATAAAAACACATGTACAGACATACATCTTAGGACATGCACTCACAATGCTCTGTATACGTCCACCACACCCTCCTTCTGCTGATTTGCTAACAGTCCGAAGCTACGATAAACTCTTCTTAGGGTTTGATAACTTCACCGTTACAGTAAAGACCTCTGAGAACAGCAAGGTAAAGCACTACAGATCACTGACATGGAGAGGTGTGTTTTTAAATAACATTTTAATGGCGTTTCCTTCCCATCTCACAGCCAAACCCGCTGCATTGTGTCCTGTGGACATCAGGGAATGTCCTGGGATCAGTTGCCATGGAAACGGATGTTATGGGCTCAAGGTCAGTGCAGTCAAACTCCCAAAAAACAAAACTAAAACTAAAGCTATAAACTCATTTTAATGTACTTTCTTTGTGTTATTTCCCAGTACAAATATCTAAACAATTGTGAAATCAAGATAAATTCACTTTTGATATTAAGTCTTGCTTTCTGAGTTTATGCTTAAAACAATGAAAACAAATACTGTATCTGCCAGTTGTGTCAGAAAAATAATCTTGTTTTCCCTTTAAATTAAGTTTTTCAGAGCCCATTGGCAGATATTTGTTCTTGTTTTAGCATAAACTCGCTTCATTTTGATAATTCTGTCACAAAACAACACTTTATATCTTAAGTCATTTTGCTTCTCCAGTAAACATATCTTGATTTAAGAATGTTTAGATTTTTAATGATTAGAAAATAAGACATAAAATACTGAGAGAGAACATTTTTGCAGTGCTACTTTCTATGTCCCAATGACAGCAACAAATATAAATAAAATGTCACTAATAAAAGTATTACAATGTATTACCATGTTTTTTTTGGAAATGTACTCTAATGTTGTTTGGAAAACCATCATTCATATCAAAATACATTAATTATTAATATATAACAATAATATATTAAAGTAAACATTATGTCATTAAAGTATATAAAGTATCATCTAGATTCTATGTGAAATCTCATGTTTTCCAAAGTCAAACAGCAACCCACATCAAACTAACTAATGCAGAACATCTGGTGTCGATGACAACTTACTTTAATACTTTAAGTATTTAAAAATCGAACTGAGAGCAACAAATTCTGTTTTACCAACACACACATATATATACATATATATCAAAGGTCTATCTATCAGCTCTGCCCTTCCCATCGCAAACACCAGGATAATCATTAACAGTCTGTGCGGGAACACCAGCTGAAACTTACCTGGAAAACAAAAACTATTCCTATTGTGGAGTTTCTCATCGAGAGAGAGAGATCATAATAATCCGAGTCTTCTCCTTCTTCTTCTTCTTCTCCTCCTCCAGCAGATCCCTCGCTCACAGCTGACGAGTTCACACACGCTCCGCTCCTCCCGCGCGCGCCGCTATCTCTCGCGCATTCCGCGCATTCCGCGCGCACTCACCTGTGTGACGGCGCCCGAGGCCCTGAAAACCCGCAACCCGTCCGACATGCTCGATCCCCGGGGGCAGAGAGAGAGAGTGAAACCTGTGTAAGCTTGATCCGACGACGCCCCGTTTCGCTGAGTTTAACCAGAGACGCGCGCGTTATTGCGCAAGACGCCGCGTTCACACTCGCGCGGTGTGCGCGCTCACAGGAAAGATTCCACCACAGTGTGAGCCGTGACATGTTGCGAAGGAGAACACATCCTGACAGCAAACCTATTATTTATGTTGTAAGTGTACTTTTATAGGTGAGAGCGGGGCATGTGGTCACACAGTTTACTGCAATATTGCTCAAGTGTGTGAGTGTGTTTTTTTGAAGACATAGCTTAAGTTAAAGTATCTAGTCACATTATTTTTATTTTTCGGTAACACTTTACAATAAGGTTCATTAGTTAGAATTAGTTAATGTATAAACTAACATGTTCTAACAATGAGCAATACATTTGTTATTGTAGGCCTAATAGTTAATCTTTGTTAATAAAAATACAGCTGTTCATTGTTTGTTCATGTTAGTTCACAGTGCATTAACTAATATTAACAAATACAACCTTTGATTTAAATAATGTATTATTAAATTAATAATGATTAATAAAAGATTAATAAATACTGTAGAAGTATTGATCATTCTCAGTTCATGTTAACTAAGGTAGTTAACTTATGAACCTTATTGTAAAGTGTTACCAGTTTTAAAGTGGTTACAAGTAAGAATTTTCAGCAAAATGTAAACAAAACAATTCACGAACAATTCAGCAAAAAGGCATGCATTTCTACCAGATATCGGAGTACACATATAGATCGCATCTAGATACTAGAAACTCACGTGTGAAGAAAAGAAAGAAAAAACACTTCTGGCTTATGCTTGCTAAACATTTTCACTGAGGGTAAAAGTTGTTTGAAGAAGCATGACAGATAATGATCTTTTCTTTATAAGATTTTATATATGTTGATTTGACTATTAGTGAGTAATTTGACCAATAAGTTGGTCATCAAAGGTAAATTACCTCCATTTTGCACTTGTTTGGTTTTACCTCAGAAAGGATCAATAAATAAGGTGATGAAGGAACCTGAGCTTGAGTTTGCTGGAGGGGGCGTGGTCTTCAGGGCGGAGCTGGAGGCAGGAGGCGGAGACTCGGTTGTCACGGCGACGCAGTCTCGGCACGATGCTGTGCCGGAAGAAGTCCGTGGATCTGACCAGGTCAATCGGTGATGCCAGAGTGTTTTTCCGGCTCATCGTGCCGGTGGAGATATTCTCTGAGGAGAACCACCATATCTACCATTACAGCCAACACAAATATGCTCTGAACGCTTTAAAAATGTTTTTTCTTGGGTATGTGAATGTTAAAGGGATAGTTCACCCAAAAATTAAAATTAGCCCATGATTTACCAACTCATCCTAGGTGTGTATGACATTCTTCTCTCAGACGAATACAATCAGAGTTATATTTAAAAAACTTAAAAAAGACTTCAAAACAGAAACAGTCATTCACTGCCATTATAAAGCTTGGAAGCATCAGGGTGTTTATTAATATACTTTTGAATGTTCTCTGAACGTTCTAAAACAACAAGTAGTAACATTTAAAAAACGTTAGATGAACGTCCAACTAAACTCACGTTCCGTGAACGATTTATGAACAATGTTTTTGTGCTAACGTTTAGAGAACATTATTAAAGACCAGATAACAACAAACATTCTATTAACGTTACTGGAGGAACTGTGTGTGTGTGTGTGTGTGTGTGTGTGTGTGTGTGTGTGTGTGTGTGCGTGCGTGCTTGCGAGTGTGTGTGTGTGCGTGCGTGCGTGCTTGCGAGTGTGTGTGTGTGTGTGTGTGTGTGTGTGTGTGTGTGTGTGTGTGTGTGTGTGTGTGTGTGTGTGTGTGTGCGTGCGTGCTTGCGAGTGTGTGTGTGTGCGTGCGTGCGTGCTTGCGAGTGTGTCTGTGTGTGTGTGTCTGTGTGTGTGTGTGTGTGTGTGTGTGTGTGTGTGTGTGTGTCTGTGTGTGTGTGTGTGTGTGTGTGTGTGTGTGTGTGTGTGTGTGTGTGTGTGTTCACCTTTCTCAGGCTGTTGTGTCTGTAGTTGCATTAGGATGGTTGTTCTGTGTTCTGGATCTTCGACTCCCATCAGTCTGAGATCATCCTCTGTTACAGATAGGAGACCCTGCACACACACACACACACACACACACACACAGCATTTCACCGTTTCATTGTTGTTTGGCGATCTGCTCTGTGAAAAGTGATTTTAAAAGTACAAATATACCACGTAGTCTCTTAATTAAGACAAACTGCATAATGAAACAAGACTGTGTGAACATGAGTGTGTGTGTGTGAACATGAGTGTGTGTGTGTGTGTGTGAACATGAGTGTGTTTGTGTGTGTGTGTGTGTGTGTGTACCTCGAGGCCGTATGAGTGTGTGTGTGTGTGTGTGTGTGTGTGTGTGTACCTCGAGGCCGTATGAGTGTGTGTGTGTGTACCTCGAGGCCGTATGAGTGTGTGTGTGTGTGTGTGTGTGTACCTCGAGGCCGTATGAGTGTGTGTGTGTGTGTGTGTGTGTGTGTGTGTGTGTGTGTACCTCGAGGCCGTATGAGTGTGTGTGTGTGTGTGTGTGTGTGTGTGTGTGTGTGTGTGTGTGTACCTCGAGGCCGTATGAGTGTGTGTGTGTGTGTGTGTGTGTGTGTGTGTGTGTGTGTACCTCGAGGCCGTATGAGTGTGTGTGTGTGTACCTCGAGGCCGTATGAGTGTGTGTGTGTGTGTGTGTGTGTGTGTGTACCTCGAGGCCGTATGAGTGTGTGTGTGTGTGTGTGTGTGTGTGTGTGTACCTCGAGGCCGTATGAGTGTGTGTGTGTACCTCGAGGCCGTATGAGTGTGTGTGTGTGTGTGTGTGTGTGTGTGTGTGTACCTCGAGGCCGTATGAGTCTGTGTGTGTGTGTGTGTGTGTGTGTGTGTACCTCGAGGCCGTATGAGTGTGTGTGTGTGTGTGTGTGTGTGTGTGTGTGTGTGTGTGTGTGTGTACCTCGAGGCCGTATGAGTGTGTGTGTGTGTACCTCGAGGCCGTATGAGTGTGTGTGTGTGTGTGTGTGTGTGTGTGTACCTCGAGGCCGTATGAGTGTGTGTGTGTGTGTGTGTGTGTGTGTGTGTGTGTGTGTACCTCGAGGCCGTATGAGTGTGTGTGTGTGTACCTCGAGGCCGTATGAGTGTGTGTGTGTGTGTGTGTGTGTGTGTGTACCTCGAGGCCGTAGTACTGCTTCTCCAGAGCGCTGGTGTACTGAGGGAGTCCGATCTGCCTCAGCCAGCGCGCGATCGAGCGGTTGTCCATCTCACACGACAACAAAACATGCTTTTGTTAGTCATTATTCACAGAAAAAGTCAAAAAATTACATACTATGTCATATTTATTAGATAACTAATTTATATTTATAAGATGACAGTTATAATTATTAGATAACAAAAGTCATAATTATGAGATAACATAAAAAGTAATATTTATGAGATGACATTCATTATTATTAGATAACAGTAAAAGTAATATTTATGAGATTACATAAATTCATATTCATGTGATGACATAAAAAGTCATTTATTATTAAATAAAGTCATTTATGAGATAACATAAAAAGTTATTTATGAGATAACACGTCATAATTATGAGATAATATAATTCATATTTATGAGATAATGTAAAAGTCATATGTATGAGATTATATAGAAGTCATATTTATGAGATAACACAAAATCATGAAATAACATAAGTCATAATTATGAGACAACATAAGTCAAAATGATGATTTAATATGTCATATTTATGAGGTTATATAAAAGTCATATTTATGAGATAGCATAAAAAGTAATATTTATGAGATAACACAAGTCATATTTATGAGATGACAAAAAAGTAATAATTACATTAAAAGTAATCTTTATGGCTTGACATAAAAAGTCATTTTTGGGATGACAAAAAAATCATATTTATAAGATAACATCAAAAGTCATATTTATGAGATGACAAACAAATTAAAATTGTGAGATAAAAATAAATTTGTGCGATAACAAAAAGTAATTTACTTTTTGTTATCGCATACATTTATAATTATGACAGAAAGGTGTCTTTCGACTTTGTACAGTATCTCACTTAGTATGTCATAATTTAGATTTTTTTATCTCTTAATTATGACTTAACATGTTATAATTATGACTTGGTATACGTCATCATTTCAACTTTTTATCTTATAATTTCGACTTTTTCATGTACTAATTTTGACATGTCATAATTATTATTTAATAGGTAGTCATTTTTTATATTTTTAAAATCTGTTGTGTTTCATTACAGATCCTTCAGATCAGTATTTTGGTTTCTGGGCTCTTTAAATAATAAAATAATAAAAAAGTATTTTTTTAGGAGTTTAAAGACACAATTTTGACAACTTCTGGGGTTTCCAGATTCATGTCAGTCCGTCTGGTGCAGCAAAATGTACTTTTAGCAGATGCAAATTTAATTTAATTCTTACCTGTGCGGCAAAACTCCTCTTCTGTTCTTATATTCTCTTATTCGTTCTTCATTTGTCTCTCTGTGTTTATAGTTTAGTCATTAATTGTCTTTATCTCAGTTTGTTGTATTCCAACTCTCGTCCACATCTCTCTCTCTCTCTCTCTCTCTCTCTCTCTCTCTCTCTCTCTGGAGGAACCCGAGGCGCTGTGTTCTGATTGGCTGCTGCAGCAGCGTCCTCTCTCTATCAGCCAATCACAGTGCAGGAATCTCCATGTGAAGTTGCGGCTTCGGGTTGCAGGTTGAGACACATTCAGTGATTCTCAGGATAACACCAGATCGTCTCAGGCCGATGGTTTTATGAGAAATTAGCAGGTAACGTTTCTGTAACTGGTCGAACGTGATTCTAGTCATTCCAAGCTAGTGGGTTTGATTCCTACGAACCTAATACAATAAACCCGAGTGACTGA